GCGTGGTCAGAAAGAGATCCAGCAGGCTCCTGGCGTGTGACGAGACGCGGGGGAAAAAAGTAGGGCTCGTCACCAGCTGGGTCAGCCCTTGAGTAAGAGCGAACGCTTCGACTGCACGACCTGCTGCATCGGTCTTATTTGAGCCCAACCAAAGCTCATTATGGGCATTGAAATCACCGAGAATAACTACCTCTGAAGCCGGGTGATTGATGTTCAGGAAGTCGATCTGGACGGCGAGGTATTCGAGTAGGTCATCCCAGTTATGGTTCGAGGGAGAGCGATAATGGCAGCAAATAAATTTGGGTGATGTTTTGGAGTTGAGGCGAAGCCACAGAATGTCCTTCCGGTCTGATTCCAAAGAAAGATCCCTGGAGCAGGAAAGACTGCTGCGGACAAAAGCCACAACTCCCCCGTTCTTTCTCAGATTGGAGTGCACCTCGTAGTTTGGGAAGTTGAGATGGTTAATCGGTGCAGTCTCTGAGATTTTTGTCTCCGCCAAGAAAAGCACGGCGGGACGATTGGATTGCAGGTAGTGATGAACAGCATCAATGTTGCTGTTGATCCCACAGATGTTCGAAAAACAAATTTTATCTTCGATGTTGTTCCCTCGAGCCCACCCTCCACCCGGACATTCCGAGAGTGGAGTGAGTTTACGTCCGGAGTTTTTAGTGCTCGAGGGATCCATCATCATTAATTTCTTTGTTTTGGTAGATAACCGACTGCATAGCTTAGGTGTGGAAACATGCGGACATTTATAAGACACCCTGGGAAAAGCTAGCGGGTGGTACTGCCTCGGTCGACTGGTCCTTGTCTACCACCTTCTTTTTACGTATTAGTGATGTTAAATAGACCTAAAGTGGCCCGTTGGCGGACTTGTACCGCCACCCGGCAATCGGTACTGAGGTATTCCTTAACGCGTGCGCAATCACTTGGACGGGAAGAAGTTGTATACTGGATACAACGACTTCCGGAACAAGCATTTGCCACGGCCCTCGCTCAGTAGGGGATATCAGTGTGCAGAAAATCCTCCTTAAGAGCAAGAGAATACTACAGTGAATTATATCCCGCTCGCATTCAACCGTATGAACGATATTTTCTGAGACTTTATCGAAAATTTAGGGGCAACGAAAATGTTTTTGCTAAAACAAGGGCAAAAAAAGAATTCATAATAAGCGAGGCCACGGAAATTGCAGTTATTGGATATTTTGAAGCTTATCGTGAGAATTCAATAGCAGATATTCTCAAGGACTCTAATTTCAGTTATGGTACTGTTCAAAGGATTTTAAAAAAATACAAATTTATTCCGTATAAGTACCGACCAGTTCAAACGCTTTTGGCAGGGGATCCAGAGAGAAGACTTGTTTTTTGCCATTGGTATCTTAGCTTCTGTCGCCAAAATGTAAATAACTTTCGTTACCTTTTATGGACAGATGAATCAAATTTTTCAAATTCTGGAATGTTTAATAGAAAAAACCACCATTATTGGTCAAGAGAAAATCTTTTGTTAGTACATCCAAGAGGCCCACAAGTCCGTTTCAGTTTCAACGTTTGGTGCGGTATAATTGGTTTAAAAATTGTTGGCCCGTTCTTTTATGAGGGAACCCTAACTGGTGAAAGATATGTGGAATTTATGTCAGAAATTCTGACTAATTTCTTAGACGAATTGGATCTTATAAGTAGACATCATCTGCATTTTCAGCAAGATGGCGCACCTGCCCACAACTCCAGAGGTACTTATCATTTTCTAAGTACTACTTTTAATGATCAGTGGATAGGAACAAATGGCCCAATACAGTGGCCTCCCAGATCACCAGATCTAAACCCACTTGATTACTTCTTGTGGGGTTACTTAAAGAACCAAATTTACAAGCGAAGGTACGATAACCTTGAGGCGTTAAAGACTGCAGTTAGGGAAAAGATAACCCAGATAGATGGTAGGACCATACTTAAGACAGTTCGAGCAGTTGAAAAACGTGCCCAAAAATGTATTGAAGAACAAGGTGGTGTTTTCGAGCATCTTCTTTAAAAAAAATTGTTATTGTATTTTGTAAGATTATAAGTTGATGTTGAAAATAAAGTTTGTCGATACAATTTAATTGTTTCAGATTGGAGGCCATAACTTCAACAATTTGTAACCTAGGAGAAAAGTTATTGTAAGCTTTTTTGTTTAAAATTTGATGCTTTAACAGAAAAAAATATAATATACAGGGGTTTCCATTTAAAAAAATGTTATTTTACTGAAAAAAATCAAAATAACGACTCTCAATTGTTTTTTTTATTTCTCATTTTTACCAGCGTTAAAAATGCTACTAGTTTGCTAATTCAAACAACTTTGTATTTTCACTAATAACAAAGTTACTAATGGTGGACACTTAATTTGGATAACCCTGTATAGTGTATAAACAACCAAAACAAAATACGGCTCTGTCTACCTGGCGTTTAAGGATCCGTCAGAATTGTCATTTGCCGATTTGGGGAAATGCCTCATTTACACTTCCCTTCACTAGTGGTAATGGAGTTAACAAAACTATTTAAATTGTGCTTATCATTCATTATGAATCAGCTCGATTCCAGGCAGTAGCTGAAGTGCGTTCAGGTGTGCAAGTGTTTATTTTCTCTAGTCAGCATTTGTTCGCATAAAATGGCCTCCTTTATCATTATGATGATATTTATGCAGAAATAATTCTAATAAAAACAATCAAGTTTTGTGTGGAATCTTGTTGTTCGGGGTGCAAAGTTTGTTTCGTTCGGTCTTCATTTGAATACATAACCGCAAAATTGAATTACGCGGTAAATAATCACCGAGAAATTTGAATAGGCTCAACCGGATGCATTCAGATTCCCGCCTAAATGTGACACTTATTAGAAATCGATCGATATCGACCGAGAGAGACGCAAAGGTGCAATTTTATTCGCTTGTGTGATAGAGCACTACTAATATCGCAGTAGGCCTTCAGACAAACGTCAGTTTAGTCTTGCATCGAACTTTAGCAAAATTACATTTTCACAAGCGTATTGAACGGAATTGTTTATTAAAATTTGCGGGGATATATGGTGAATTTAGTGTTGATGAATTTTGAATGTGCAAATACCAGGTAAATTTTCAGAAATTTGACATATACATTAACCTATAAATAATCTTTGTTTCTACGTATATTTTTAGTCTTAACTTAAGAAATGTGTTCATTCTATTGTTTTTCAAATCAATCTTTGACTAAACACATAAACGGTATAGGGAGAGGACCCGTGGGCTCGAGTCGAGTTTTGTCGAATTTTTATTGCTAGTAAGCAAATTTAAAAAACTGATGAAACATAATACTTTGATGGGCACTAAAAAACGATTGAGGTATGGGTGATCTCAAAATTTGTAGTTTTTCTAATTTCTTGGACTTGAGAAGTGATATGGTTTTGACTATAAAATGCTACCATAAAACATCTAAAATGCTATTTTGGGCCATATTTGTTGTTCTGTGATTGACATTGCCCTAAGAAAGTGTACAGAGGTCCAACAAAAAGTGTATAGAGGTACGGCAGTCGATGCACTTTTTCGGCATTATTTTGGTAGGTTTAAATGCTTAGCTGTATTGTAAATGTCCAGAAAGAAAATATGTAATTATGCTTACATATAAGCGTTCATTCTAGAATTTCCGCCCATGAGTCGCGGGTCGCGCGCCGCTGGTGCATTTGAAGTTATGTGAGGCTGTGGAGTTTGAATGTTCAACTGATTTTGATGCATCAACAATATAAATTTATTTCATTGAAAACATTTGTATTTATCAAATAATAAGGTCATTAGTGTGTTTATTCTACATTTTACCTTTAAAATGATGTCTACTAGGTAACTCAAAACGCTGAGTGCTTTCATTAAAACATGAACATAACTATTAAAAAATCAAAATCAAAACGGATTTTATAATCACCCTTGCCTCAATCGTTTTTTCATATACCACAAAGTATGTTTCAATAACTTTTTTAACTTTTCTCGAAGTAACAAAATTTTGATAAACTTATAGCAACAATTAGACCTGCATTGCCAATGAAACTTTTAAAGTAGGTAATCAAATAGCTGTCAATTTAATTTTGTGATTTGATTTAAAAATTGTGAAGTTAGTGCTTGTTTAGAAGTTATTTTTAATACTGTAAAGTAAAAAATGTCTGATTCCGAGTTTTCTTTGACTCTCCACCGGAATTAGTAGAAGTAGCTAAAGTAGTGTCACAAAAATTATTTCCCGCTAAATCGTTTATACAATATCCGGGAAAAAGTACCCATTTTTTCTCGGGGAAAAAAGTGATTTCATAAAACGTGACACTTTGTTACCTGTCAACAGAGATACAATGTCAAACTTTTTTCCCGTCACAGGAAAAAGTAAGTTTTGGAAAGATGTTTTGTGGTAGCATTTTTTAGTCAAAACAATGTCATTTATCAGAAAAACTCCGAATTTCAAGTTTATCTATACCTCAATCATTTGTTATGACTCAAAGTATGCTTCAACAGTTTTTTAAATTCCTCTCCTAGTAATAAAAATTCGATAAAACCCGGGTCGAGCCCAAAACAAAGCTACGTTGGATTTAATATTTTTTTACTATGCAGTAAAGCCACCAAAAACTAGACATTTTTTTAATGTACGCATCCTCAGAAACATTTTGAGCACGCCCAAAAATTACACAGTTGTTGGTTCTTTCGCTATTAAACTCACCACTAAAATATGTTTCTATTAGTCATAAAATTAGATACACGAATTAGCTTTGATGAGGAAACTATACCTTTCATGTTTTCAAAAAAGCCAAAAATTAACTAAACAATCACATACACCTAGCATCCTGTTTTGTATTATTATAATTTTATTTTTTTGAATTCTGTTATTTTTGAAAAGTTCAGCACTTGTATAGTGTGTCCATAATTTAAATATATACTTATTTTACGAAGTCAGTTGTCTTAGTGGTAGGTTTGTCAGTTTCACTTTATCATTTTATTTTTTTAAAACTTCTCATGATTTTAGTTGAACTTGAACTGAAGCAGTTGGATGACAGGTTAGTGAAGCTGTTGGCGTACCAGCAAATCCAACAGCTACTGAACACTCCTTCATCACAGAACGCGCTATTCTCGCCCGCGTTCAGGGAAAAGTTCCGTCAGATGCCGCTGCCCAGTGAATTGCTCACCCCTGCGGACATCGATCGGATATCCAGGGTGTTCAATAGCCCCAAGAAGAAGACCAAGCCCAAATCCACTATCAGAGCTAGGTAATATTTCTTTTTGGAATTAACTGTCTTAACTCACACTATAATGAATACCAAAAACAGTGGGATCTGTACAATGGCCGCGCATTTATATGGAAAAACAACTAAAAGCCTGCAAAAGTAAGTGAATTTATGTAGTCTAATAAAAGAAAAGTGTCATTGTAAGGAATGTAGTCAAATCCGCACTACTCTTTCCTTATCGTGACTAGCTGAGGATTCGGTAACGGAATATTGGCCAGAAGCGAAGTACATAATAGAACGCCGTACACGCAGTGGACGAAAAGTGAAAAACATATAATAAAATCCGTGTCATGTGGGGTAAACTGAGATCTTACAATAGGGAATATGCATTGTTTTTTTTCGATTCTCTGTCGATTATTCACGTTAATATAACACCGTTAAAATATATTTCATTCCTGTATATTTTAATTAAATATTTAAAAGTACAATGCCCCTCGTTGATTTAAATGCGACATTTCTAGCATGTCTCGCAGTGCCGTCATAACTCATGGTTTTTCATTTTATTCTATGTTTGGTTAATTTGCTGTCAAGTTATGAAAGTTTCTATTTTTGTTGTTGTTGTCTTGGCAGCGAAATTCCCTTGCTGGTCACAGCACGTCCAAGTTCAATCTGTATTCACATCCATGTTGAAAAATGGGCGTAACCCATTGTAGTTAGATAGCTCAGTGGCGGATTCCGTGTCATCCAGCTTGAAGCTGATCAAACTGAGAGGTTGACATCCATTGACGTCTTACCTATATAGACCCTGCAAGTCATTCATAAGTCCGCCGTTTGTTATGTTCGCGGACCTCAGTGGCGGGAAATACCAACTTTCATTCATAATTTTATCAAATTGACCCCAGGCTTGGAACAGCACAAGGCTCAATGTAGGCCATGAAGGGCTATAAAAGCCAATAAATTTCTCAGTATACTGGATGTACAAAAAACGTCTTTCTTGTAGGTATACTATTATTTAGGTGACCATACGTCCCACTTTCGGACTCTGCCCTACTGTTCCTGACAAAAGCCTGGCGACATAAAAATGTCCCTCTTTTCGGTCGTGGTGTCTCCAACAAACCATCATCGGCCATCAATACAAAAAAAGAAGTGTATTTACACATTGTGCTTTCATTTTATGATTGTAAACCAAAATAGCAAAATGTGTGCCTTTTGTGGTAGATAAAAGACCCCAATATAGAAGTAATAAAACACAGTAAATACCTACTTGAAAAAATGTTTATTTGGTGGTTTACAAAATATTTTATATGGAGATCAATCAATGCAAAATAAAATTTTCTTGACATTCTTAATAGGAAATGTGTCAACAAAAAATATACCTATCAATTGTAAATATGGGATATCACACCAGCACAAGATATGTTAACAAAAGGGGAGTTGGCAATGAACATTGCAGGGATTTGAAAATGTGTAAAATATGAAAATGTTTAAGCTGATAACATAGCAATTATATATAAACTAGCTAAAACCCGCGGAATGGAAGTAGTGTAAAGTATAATAATGCAATAGTTACTTTGGCGCTGGACCTTTTCATTCAACATATCAATTCAATAATAAATTAATTTCAAATGTGTAGTCACAGTAAATAATTCATGAAGTATCTCACAGCCTAGGTGGCCTATCTAACGTTACTATACGTCCGAATTGAGTGGGACAGCTGACTTTTCCCGTCCCGGTGACCGCGAGAAATAGCTGGGGACGCAAAATGGTCCCACCTTCTCAAGCTTCCCTGCCCCTCACCCCGCGCTCTTCAACATTTAATCCGGGGAATTGTTCCTACGAATTGACATTCCTGCACATAAACCAAAGTCCTGTACTCCCCACCCCTCTCCACGCTCTTCAGTGTAGTTCCCGGAAATTGTCCTGGCCTTACCACTGATATAAATAAAGCAAAATCGCTTACCCTACCTCCGCTCCCCAAGGTCAAAAGTAACTTACGTGCTATTCCAGACTATAATCTATCTCTGAACCAAATTTCAATCCATATCCGTTCAGCCATTTTGGCGTAACTGAGTAACAAAGACACATCCGTTTGTTCGCATTTACACTATTATGATTAGTAGGATACGTTCCATCTGCTCCATATAAGGATTTTACCATGAAATAATCCCAGTTGGCCGTGGCGGAAATCGAACGAAAAGCTGAGGGTGTCAGGTTGACATTTCGCCGCGTCATGGTCAACTGAGATTTGAGCAGTTTTGGCTGTAACTCTTGAAATAGATATTTCGAAGTTCTTTCCCGGGATAAAATGTAGCATATGTGCTATTCCAGGCTATAATCTATCTGTGTGTCAAGTTCATCCAGATCGGTTCATCCATTCTGGCGTGATTGAGGAACAAACATACATCCATCCCTCCATACTTTCGCATTTATGATATTAGTAGGATGTATATATATATATATATATATATATATATATATATATATATATATACATCAAAGTTACACAGAGTCCATGCAATGGATAAGTAAATATAAAATGACAAAAAGTTGTTGACAAAAAACAGGAAGCAATAGCATGTTCTCTACATGTAAAATATGAATATCTATGAAACATTGTAAAAAGTTCTCAATTATTCGTGTTTCTTTAACAAGATATGTCAGATGATTTAGTTAACGCTCCAGTGGTAATTCATTAGGAAAAAGGAATCAATCTATGGCGGTCTTGCAAAGATCAGAAAACAGAAACAGTCTATGGACAATTACCGTAAAATCATTTATGGCAAAAAGATCATTGTCGATTTTAAAATTAATCTGATGTAACTATTGATGTTTGAATAATACAGTTTTAGTGTAAATGCTCCTTACTATATCCTTGGTTTCACTTTTTTTGGATGCTTCGTAATGAAGCCGAACCTGAAAATATTTTTTTAGTATTATTTTCACCAAAGTGATTGCATGGCCATCTAATGGGTCGTCCTCAAAATGATGATCTCCAAAATAATCAAATACCTTGGAGGGTATCACTCTATATGTACCATTATTTAAAAGTGTTATCAGATTTCTTATTGTTTTATTATGTATTCCTGTCGTTTTGTCAAAAACTCTAAATTATTTTTTACCTTCTTTACATAAACCTATAACCATATTAGATGCTTTAACTAAATTTCCGTACTGTTTTCTTTCCTGAAGTTTGGATGTACTTGTTTCACTTTCTAATAGATTTTTGCAATATGGACATGTAATGCAGGTTTTTAGTGATTTTACGACAAAACCTGCAATATAGTCTTCAATATCTTGATTATACAGAGTTAAATTCCAGGCAGAAGATGCATGGCTCAAAATATTCTCCCTAACAAGCTGTTCCGTAACAGAATATTCCCTAGCTTCTACCATGTTTTCACCATCCTCATTATATGTATGTGAGCTGCCCTCCACTGCCATATGTTAATATGCTTAATGATTCCGGGTGTGTGACGTTACCACCAGCTGGACCAACAATTTCCGCATGGACTAAGAGGCGTTTGTAGGCTGCCTCGAACTGCCTTGCAGTAGGGTTATAATTAAATCCCCCTTTGCTCCGAATCGCGCTGAAGAAAAGTTCAAGGTGATCCTGTGATAGTTTGTTGGTTAAAATAAATTTGAGTAATGGTGTCTTAATCACATAAGCGACACACAAACGTTTCAAACTATTAATTGACACAAGGAATCCTAGAAACCCTGTTTTTCGACATGACTGCAATATCGAGATATTTGCCAGTTTAAGGTCCTTGATGTAATTGGTCACTTTATCTAGAAATTTAAAAAACGATTCGGCAGTTGATAAGGGTCTTTTGAAGTGATATTTTGCTAACCCATTCCGAGAATTAAATATATCGAATAAATCGTTAAATAATCTGATAAACACAGCCGTTCCTTTCATGTCTTCTCCAAGAAATAGAAGAGCATCAGATACACTTCTACTCAGTGTCTGGGTCGCTATATTAACTTTCATTTTTTCCCTTGTCCACTGCAAATGCCGAATCCTCATTTTATTTGCCAAATGAAGCCCTTGGAATGATTGTATATCGACCAATTTCACCAAGTAACTCCACGCAATTGATCTACCGTCGCCATCTGTCAAAAACTGCTGTGATCCAAAAGTGTTTCTGATTAGTTTGATCATATGGCATGCATGCAAAAAAAATGAATATGTTTTCTCCACTGATGGGATGCTTGAAATGAGTAATTAAATGTTCACTCTCCAAATTTGCTCCTAAACAAGATGCCATACTTAGATTAGCAGGAGCACCATCAAATGTCACTGATGTGATCAAAACACCCGACTCGTATAAAAAGGTCAAACATTTTTTTAATAACTCTGTCTTTTCCGCAGCAGCTAATCCAGCCAAAAATAAGTAGCCCACAGGAATTTTCCAGGATCCATTAAGACATACCAACATAAATATATGTACATCCTTGCTTCAGGAAGCATATCTGAATCAATATTTGCCCCAATATCAACATACCCAGTGAATTTGGTTCCCACTCAGTTTGATGTCGTATAGACATTTCATCTAAAACCAAATTGCACAGAACATGTGAACCCTTTGCATCTGCTTGTCGCTTTAAAATCTTTAGAGTTTCCAAGGCTTCCTGTGTGAACCCAGGGGAACCATTAACTGATTTATACCACTTACTGATTGTACTTAAATCAGGTAAAGATTTATTAAATGTCCTTCTAACAAAAGTATACGCCTTAGGTGAGTAAAACGCAAGGGTCACTGCAAAGCTTCTTAAAACAGGATCGTATTTTTGTATTGATGGACCTTTTAGCATCCTTTCAAATATTTGAGAGGCTGGACCCGACAGACACGCCTGAAACAACAACAAAAGCAAATTTCAATATCTTTAATGTTGGTATGTATGAGCAGCTTGGGAATAAAATACACTTGTAATCAAATACTTCAATATAGAACAACTTTCAAGAATGACATGTTTGCATTGTTTCTATATGGTACCTGTCACATTTTGCCATTGTCTTGTGATTGAAATTGAAATCGTTCATGATTTCAGGTGTAAGTGATGTCCACTTCTGACATTAAATTAAATTAAATAACTTAAAAATTGAGGTGACTCGAATTATTCCAGTGTTTTAAGCACCATAAACAGTTAAACAAGATAGAAAAACCTTAAACACTCGGGAAAATATAAATAAATTGGAAATCACCCATTGTTTCTATATGGTGAACTGTCATATTGTTTCTTGACTTTGGTTCTAGGCTAGGTCAATTTATTTGTATTTTTCCTCTTTCAGGAAGTTTCAGGTTCTTTTGTTGTTACTTAACTGTCCTATTGTGGTTTTTGTTTGTTTTTCCCTTACCTTGAGTTCACTTTCAGTTGAAGCATTCATATTAAACCTTTGATTTAGCATATCAAGGAATTGCTTCTGTGTTTGAATTCTATTTTTGAAATATCGGATCAAACGTTGTTTGTTTTGCAGTAACTTCCTCTGTCTCAAAATAGTGTCTTTCATGAGACGAAAATTCCGTTTTCACTTCTCAGCTGTTGAAAAGTCGCTACTGGTCAAGTCTCCCACATACCTCTTCCTACAAAAACAAGACCATCATTATGAATTTTGCGAATGATTAATTTTACAGATGACAAAGAGGTATCATTGTTCAGTGTTCTCCTACGTATTTTTTAAATGGGCCAAATTAGCAAAAATATGTGCCAAATTTCAACTTGCTTGTATATACTGTAGTGCATATACAGGGCGGCACAGCAACGTTTGAGGTCTGATGTTTTAGAGTGTATGAGAGACTGGGAAACGAGAGACGCATATAATAAATAGTGCACCAATCACCATGTTTCCTAGCAGTGACAGAAACAATGGTTGCAGAGCCTTGTTGTAGCTTGCCATGCATTCTTTCTAACATAATGTGTTGTACGGTTCTCTTTCTTCCCTCTCTCTCGTATACAGTGAAACTTCAGACTACAGACATAGCTGGCCTGCTCTGTATATGAATATTGTTTATAGACATTGACTCAAGAATTTATTGCTGATAGTATGGTATTGTACCTCTTTCTTTTCTTTTTTGCTTGAACAGATTCAGTGAACACATCTGATTAATAACCCTTTTATGAGGCTGTCACAGATGCAGGTGAGGCACTCCAAGTTTTAGAAGAACTTGATGATGGTGAATCTTCCACTACTAAAAAATATAAAATATATTTTATGCATAATCTTAAATATGTGACATCTTGCTTGACTTACAATGGCTTAGAAGGTCCAGGTTGAACAAACGTTTCATGTTTCAGCTGTATCCTACAATATCAAAAAAAATATATCAAATTTCCTGATAAACAGTTGAAGATACCAGTCATATATTAAAACATAAAAATTCAAACAGATATTGAAAATAGCAATCTTAAGTGGATGATAAACAGGGTGAATCAAAAGCAATATCAATATTTTTTGGAGTACAAAATAGGTTTAAAAGTTCAAAAAACCCTATGACGACTTGTATAAAAATGTCCCATTGCCTAGATACAAGGTATTGTAAATTTCTGCATCACTGATGGAACTGAAAAAGCATGAATACTTTTAAAATGACCCTTAATACTAGAGCTGGATAGGATTACTAAAACACTAGATACATTTCTTCAGATTTTTTTTTGATCTTGAAATTATGTACCACTTCTATACCCAGTATTGAGACTAATGTTTCTATGAATGTTGCATGTGCTTGATCCTAAAAATATTGATATTATTTCTGGATCACCCTGTTTTATGATACAAATATAAAATATTTACAGTACATTTTTGCATTGATACTCCTAGCAAAGTAGAAGCAATTATAATCAGACAACCGACTGTTTTAATGCTATACTAAAATTTCTAAAATACTTTTAGATAAAATATATAATACATTTCCAAATTTAAATTAAATTAGCCTACAGTACATGGATCTTTCATGAAACATACCTTTCATCAGTCTTAATTCTGGATGAAGAGCTTCTTATGGAGCTGCCAGTCACATCTAGGAAGCTTGCAATACATTTTGGCATCACAGAAACTTCTTTTGGGCAAATATCAACACTTGACGATGATGTACTAAAGCAATAATGTATTATATAGTCACCAATTAAGTAACCATTCTTATCTGTTTGTATAACAAACTTTCTATTCATAACAGACAATGTGACAACATAACTGTCCCCTTAGGTCCTCTCTTCTACATTCTATATGCCAATGACATAATGCAATTAATGCAGGGTTTAAACATGTATGCCGATGATAGATCTTTTGTTATCAGTGAACACTCAGAGGCGTGAACTAAAATTGTTGCAATTGACCACTTAGAACAACTTCAGAACTGGTTCCCATCCAATAAACTACTGTTGACTTTAAAGAAAACACAACTAGTGCAATTCAGTAGAAACTTAGAAAGCAATAACTTTTCCATCTATTTTAATGGAAACACTATTGAAGCTGTAAACACTGCCTTGCTTTTATGTGTTAGTATAGATTGCTGCCTCAATTGGAAAGACCATACTAAAGATGTATGTGAATCTGTTGCCAAATTCAGTTAAGTGATAGGAATATTGTCTGGAAGTCTTGGCAAGCATATTTTGGATATGTGCATTCCAGGCTGTCATATGGAATTATTTTTTGGGGCAATTCAACAACTGTAAAGAGAGCTCTTATCCTTAAAAAGAAATGCATTAGGAACATCTTTGGAATGTGTTTCAATGACGGCTGCAAACAAGTATTCAGAGAAAGGGGCATTTTGACTGTGGCTGGTATCTATATCTTAAAAAAATCAAGATCTTTTCCAGAATCCATACTTCCACCACTACAGTACTAGAAATAGATCTAACCTCGTATCAAACACATTCACCATGATTACTCCAGAGGAATGTTGAATTCTCGAAAACCAAAATTTGGAATAAGATACCTCTCAACTCTTTCAAAAAAATGTTACATGCTATCCTCTGTGACAAGGCCTATTATCAGGTCCAAGAATTTTTGGAGGACAATGATTTTAATGTCATCTCATATCTGTGATATTTACTTCAGGTATTTTAAGCTTGTTTGTAATGTATATTTTTATTTTATTGTGTATTTGTATTAATTTTTAAAAAAGTTTCACATCACCACTGTGATTACATGCAACAAATAAAGTTTATCTATCTATAGGCCCAGGCCCAGAACCACAGCTTCGTTAGAGTCCCCAAATGCTCAAAAATCAACCAAAATTCAGAAATGTCTGAATAATTCTTTTTTCCTGATCTTGCTTTGACCTGGGGGCTCAAGCCACATTGGACACTCAGGTTCTGAACTACATAGCGTAAGGTGGCATTGGGCAAAATAATCTAAAAACATTTTGTGAGTGTATAAAATTCTTACCATTGAGAGGAAACAACTGGCCATATGGGTTTTGGAACAGCACCAGGTTTTAGCCAAGTTCTTCCTTGTGGAAAAAATGCTTTGAGCATATTATAACCACTTTGTGGGATTGAGGTTCTAGCTCGGTAAGTTCCAAGAAAGATTTCCATTTCTCTCTCTGCTTTTCATTTGCGGATAGTCTGGAATGAGAATTAGAAATTCAAGTAAGATGCATTGTACGAACATTTGTAAACGATATATTTATACAAGCTCTTGGGTGATTTATGGGCACTTATAAAAAACAGCTTTTTTTTTCTTTGATTTAAGAATGTTATGGAAATCTTTCTAAACACTATTTTACATGTAAAAAATATAAAATACGGAGCGGATCCGGAAAATGACGCACTCCACGCCAATGAGTAGAATCGTAAACATAACCTTACCTGTGAAAATATATCCCTTCACTGCCTGTTTTCCCAGCCTCAACCTTACACAAAAAACACTTTTGTCTCACCATAATTTAATGAAAGTCTGAAAAACACAAGAAGATTAAGCCTAGCACGAGGATAAAAGCGATTTTCACATAAAATGAAAATGGCGGCCAAAACACGGAACACGCACAGATTCACAGGCGATGACTCACTCTTACTACAAGGCTACTACAACCAAGTGCAGCGTTTACGTATATAAACGTTAATCACAAATATGCAGAAAGTACTCTGATTTGTATTATACCTCGATTAGTATTAAAATTCACGTATTCTTCACTTGTTCTATAAATTATTATAGGTATATAAAAATATACATAAATTTCTTCTAGAACAACCTTTCTGCAACAGAAATAGGTCATTTGGCTAGTTGTGGATATCATGGAGCCAATGTCAAAAGGACCGTGGGGTCATCTTATTTGGCAACATCGCAAAAATGAGGGTTTGTTGTGGAGGAAGAACTTTTGTAAACATTCCAGGTGTATTTGGGTAATACGTCAATGTTGACATCCAATTACAGCGACTGAGGACTGGCTGCTCACTTGCCGATATTATGACGTCACGCCAATAGTGTGTCGTTTCCATATTTTAAATTTGCCGCGTATTTGTTCCATTTTTTATTAGTTTCCTATATTTCTCCTGTCATCATTTCTCAGATTGAAAATGAATTTTCAGTTTGAAATTCAAGTGTTTACGAACCTAAAATCGACTAAACTTGTGTTATAAAACTGATAATGTTACAACCCAGAGTCACAACGTACATTGAGATTTCCTGAATAATAAAGACCACAGAGTGCAAGAATGCAGGTTCATAGCGGCTTGTAGTTGGCTTCATCTATAACTAGACACTTTGGAAATAATTTTGAATGTCTATACTAACATATGAATTCGACACATTTATCCAGAAGCTTTACAGTAAAAATGCAGACCTCCGATGTTGCGCCATCATTCGAAAAGCATCATCAGGCATCAATTGGATAGACTGGCAGTGCTTCTGAAAATAATGGCAAAATATGTTTACATTTTAATTTTTGGCAGTGTGATACAAATTGTCAACGTCAAAGCAAAACATCAAAAAACAGGTTAGCCTTCCCGTGCACATTTGCTAGAGCAGTTCGGGAGCGTCACACTCCGGGTGATTAATTTGAATTCACTACTAATACTGATTAACTCGATGAAATTTGACAGTTCAGGTACTTTTTAAGTTGTATTACAATGCCCATTTCCAGTACAATCCAAGTCTCTTAATATAATTTGGACTAGTTTTTCTATTATTTTTGCTATAAGAGTAATTAAACTTATGGGTGAATAATTTTCTGATAATAGATAATGTAAGTCAATTTGGTGTGTGAGTGTTTATGGTCACGTAGTTAGGATCAAATGGCATGCCGCCCACTGGAGCAATGCGAAGGGAAGCGACGTGGCACGTTTGACGCGTGAAAATGATTAACGTCGCGGCGGTTCGCTTCTCGTCAGTGAACGCGCAACTGTATCTTCTACCATTGACAGTTTGGCATGAACTATTTATGGTGACATCTTATCTGAATGCGAAATGAAAATCAAATCGTATTCGATTATACTTTCGGCAGTAAATGCAGAAGGTTTAAATGAATTCTTTCCTTGTACTGATTTCATGCTTTTCTCCAATACGCGAGCCATAAAACGAAGATAAACCACATCATCCCTGACAATTACCAATTCGAGGTCAAACAACTTTGCCGAAAGTTCTTATTACACAGATAATTAATGTGCACGTACTTTTTTCCAGAGCAATGTTGTGTCCTGTCGTTTCGAAGCACTTCTATAACGTCCGAACGACAGAAGTAGATCCCACTGACGTCAGGCACGACAATAGTTTCATGGGGTTTCGTCCTACGGTGTCGTTAAGATTCCCTGAAGCTGTTGCCATGAGATATAAGGTTTTGAATATAGGCAAAGGTTCTGCGAACGAGGTCAATCTGGAGAATTTCGGATACTGTAACTATATTTCGCCCAAACATGCTGTTATTTTCTTTGATGAAGTAAGTTTTTATAAGAAATGTTTCGCTGCATGCATGATATGATTTTTACTGATAACAATTTGGTGCTATCAAAATCTGGAGCACTGATAAATTATAACCTAAGACTTCGTTAACGATCACAGTAACTGGAAGGTTAAGCGTCCGCTTGGAATGCAGGAGATCGTGAGTTCGAATCCATCCGCTGCACTGACGAATTTTTATTTCTGCCGTTAAATCAGCGTTCTTACAATGAAGTTTTCCATCTTTTCAGTACACGAACCATTACGAGTTGATAAACTACGCGCCCTGCGGCACGTACGTGAACAACGTTCTCTACTCAAATAATACAAGTACAAAGCGACCTGAGGTGACTGTTTCTAGCGACGAAAAATGTGCCAATGTAGAGATACAAGTGAGAGATATAATTGATAAGAAAAGGAAGATTAGCAGAGTTAGGAAGTCATCTTTGGACAACAAAATGACAGCTGTTGACTGTATAGATAAGTAAGTTTACTATCAGGATATGCCAAAGGAGTAGTTTCGCTCGCCGCGTATGTCATGCCAGTGGATTATCGTGGCATCATTGTCTGTTTTAGAGGTCAATTTTGTTCAACACATTGTGGATCAGGCGTCCTCATTGTTAGTGATTGTTGCTAGCTTTCAATTGAATCGGGTGTCAATCTTAGTAACCATGGTGACCCATCGTAAAATGTGTCTATAGCCCGCCGGTCAGCTCCATTGACCCCCGCACCAAAAGACTGGAAACAGGAGGGCGTGGCTCTGCACGTCTGCACATGCAAGTGAAAAATATCAACATAACAGCATGCTTTTTTTCATCTATTTAGGTAATGGTTCAAGTATAGTCTGCGAAAACCGTAAGTTCGCCAATTTGGACCTAATAGACAAAGGTCAAAAATCGCGTTGAAATTGCGTAATCTCAAGATACTCATCAAAAATGTTGTAAAGCAAGGTTCAAACTTCGATTAAGATTCTTGGCGGCCTCAAAAATTATAATTTTTAACCGAGTTTTTAAGCATTGAATATACCCATTTTTAGAGCTGTTCTGGCATTAAATCGCTTATAATTATATATAATCAATGGAAGCCCTTTTCGTTCGGAATGATAAAAAAACCAGAAAAAAAGTATCCTGGAAAAAATTGTAATTTATTTAAAAAAATGTTTAAACAAATTTGATATGGGTTATCGTGCGGGTGTATATTCAATGCTCAAAAACTCTGTTAATAATTATAATTTTCTACAAGACCTTGAGGAGTATTTTGAGATTAGTTTATTTTAAAACAATTTCAACCTTGTTTTTCAGGTCAAAATTGACGAACTGATGCTCGCAAAATGCTGATTCCTCAGGTTTTTAATTTCATTTCATTCGCAATTTGCCATGGTTTGTCAAAACTTGGGTTGTTTACGTTTTACGTTCATGATGAAAGCAATACCACATGCGCAGAATCTTAAATTTCGAATGCAAGGGTTATTTATTAGATAGCCTGCCTTTATTCTCGACACTTTTGCCTTCACTCCCATTCTGAGTGTACCCTCTTTCCAGTCTTCTTGCTCCTGAATTACTGTTCCAGGTGAAAACCCAAGAATATATGAACGAATCGTCCTTGCTTTGGTGGTTCTCTCATAGGAGGCTCGGTATCTCCCAAAAGAAGCGCCCTTGGTTATTCGATTCACATATCGGGTTTTCCAATAAGGACTTGACAACTTTGAACTGTCAATGTCAAAACATTCAGTAAAGAAAACATTTCCATCATGGTGAAGTACACAGACGAACAACGCTTACAAATAAAATTTCCTACCGAAATTCCGATTCGGTGACTGCAACTTCAAGAACGTTAACGGTCGTAATTCTCCTTCCAGTAGACAAGCAATTCATAGTCTAGTGAAAAAATTTGAGTCCACATATTCGCTGCAATATGTTCCCGTGCCAGTGAGACAACGGGTTGGTCGGATTGGCGACAATATTGCTGCTTCCGTCGCAAATGAACAGAATACGTCGTCCACGGCGGCCTCACGAATTGGGCATCGCTCGGACCACACTATGGCGAATTTTGCGAAGAGATCTTGGTCTGCACCCTTATAAGATCAAGTTAACTCAAGAACTAAAGCCGTTCGATCACATGAACCGACGTACATTCTCGAATTGGGCTCAAGAAATCTTGAAAGAAAATGACCAATTTCATCGCAAAATCATCTTCAGTGATGAGGCGCATTTTTTGCTAAACGGCTCCGTCAACACACAGGATATGCATTTTTGGTCAGGTGAAAACCCTATGTGCTTCAAGAAACACCACTTCATCCAAAAAAATAACTGTATGGTGTGGTTTTCATGTCGGGCCGTTTTTTTCCTTGATGAAACTGGCCGTCACGTTACAGTCAACGGAGATCGCTACAGGGACACGTTGCAACGTATTTGTTTGGTCAGTTTGATGAGCTAGAGATTAATTATATGTTGTTTCAACAAAACGGTGCCACAAGCTACACAGAGGGTGAAACAATCGACATATTGAAATCAAAATTCGGTGAACGTGTTACATCGAGAAATGGTCCTGTAGAATGGCCGCCTAGATCGTGTGATTTAACACCTCTAGACTCTTTGTGGGGCTACATTAAATCATTAGTCTATGCCAACAAGCCGGCGTCATTAGAAGAGCTCATAACCAATACTGAACGAAAGATAGCGACCGTTTGTGTCGAAATGTGTGGCCGAGTCATTGAAAATTGGGTTCAACGAATCGATCGCTGCGAACGTGCTCGTGGTGGACATATGAACGAGGTAGAATTCCATACATACTATAAATGTTTTGAGTATACTTCAATCCAATAATAAAATTTTCGAGATATCTCAAATCATTATTTAAAAAGAAAGTTGTTAAGTCCTTAATGGAAAAACCTTCAAATGCCTCAGAATCTGCCAAGCCAATGTTGCCAAACTGGTAGTGAACGTTTAGAAAACGGTACATTTATACTGAGCTGAATAAAGTATAGTACTATCCAAGGTTTTTGGCGCTTACATTTCAATGTCATAAGAAATATATTTCTTAACTGTCCCACTTATAGAGCTGAACTTTCCAAGACAAACATGAATTGTGTAACAGGACTATTTTCTACTCACTTTTTGAAAATGATTCTAAAAATTTAAAACCGATCGTGGATATCGTAGTTGTGTTCTATATCGGAAATCAACAAAAGGTAAATTCGAATCGCACGCCAATGACTCGTCGTATTGACAATGACAAGCACAAATGTGAAAATTGACGAGAAAACCTTGAGACGGTGAGACAAATTAAAACAAACTTACGTTTGCGAGTTTACACAAACGTGACTGCATAGTAGTAGTAGTAGTATAAAGATTTATTTAGCACATTTGGCTACATAAACAGAATAATTGTAAACAACTTAGAATTAGTAAATTCAAGCCATATGATGTATAATGTAAATGCTGAGCAAGCTATAATTGTAGATTTAACAAGTGATTCCTCAGTTTTACTTTAAATTTTGTCAAAGTTTTCTGGTCTTTTATCTCTATGTATAATTTATTATATTCAATCAACCCTTGATGGAATACAGATTTGTAGCATATGTTATAGTTTTTGGTCATTAAATGGAAGTCATCTTTATTTCTGGTATTATCTAAATGATGGTCGGTATTTGATGATGTTAAATTAGTTAGACTTGATGGAAATATATTATTTTTTATTTTATAAATGAATATCATTACAAGATATTTGATAAAAATTTTTACATTGAGCCATTTTAATTTGCTAAGCATTT